CACTTGCATTTGGGCTGTGTCTTCGATGGCGAGGACAATATTCAGGAGGGATGAATGTAATGGTTTGGGCCGTGCATATCGGCCTGGGTAGCTCAGTCGGTAGAGCACCTGACTAGTGATGCAGGGGTCTCGGGTTTGATTCCCGGTCCAGACATACATTTTCTCCTTTCCTGTTACAAATCAATATCGTGTTTATAGTATGCTAGATAATGCATTGTTGAATTTTTTGCATTTTTGTTTCAATCAAACATGTCAAAAGAGTAAAGTATTGGTGAAATTACATGCCCACATGTATTTAAACAAAATTTAAAGCAGTGAGAATTTGATAATATCATATGAGGGGTAACAGACAGCGTCTGTACTATAAAATAGATACATACATCAGTGTGTGTGCGCACATTTAAATTTGCTGGCATTTAAACATCAGTGTTCTATAAGTAAATTTTAGATAAGAAAATATCTAACCTCCTTTTCCAACGTCAACGCCAATCACATACTTAAATTTCTCCGTAAACACTTTTTATCACTCGTCACATTTATCACTGGAAACTTCGAAACAGACTGTTCATCATTGTCAATCAGCTGTCAATGTGACCGTCGGAATTTCCTCGTAAACAATTCGCACAAGAATATGTATACCCTCCTTAGACTAATGTCCCATGTACGCAGCCAATGATTCTTCATGTGTTTCGTAGTTGTGGATTAAATGTGCATATCTACATACGGCTCGAACGGTGAGAAAATGTATAACTCCATACAATTTCTCATTTTCTGTTTCTTCCGGCTACTTCTTCGGGACAGACTAAAGACCTGATACACTAAAGACCGGATATCTGACCTAATGATTTTTAAAAACTAAAATAATCAGATTGAGTGCTATAAATGATTTATTTTAAAAGGATTATTTATTACACTGCACAAAGCATTATGCAATGCTAAAATTCACTTTTAGGGAATATTTATTAACAAATTAATTATGCTTTGTCTCATCAGGTCAAATTCAGGTAGTTAGTATATCAGGTCTTTAGTATCTTCCTACTTCCCACGATGCCACTTGTGATTGTACAAACAAGAGGCCCTGATAAAGACTTCTCTATGCGGATGCATAGTACATGTTTATTTACCTTTAGTTGCATCTGACGTCGCATTTATAAATTATATTGGCCCTATCAATTTAAAGAAAACCGAGATCGAAACAAAACATTTTTTAAAAAAAAATAACAACTATCTTAAAGTCGTACAGTTTGCATGTGCCACGATACGTACGAAGCCCCGTAAAAGAGCTTGACTGTTTTGTAGAAACTTGTTTCTTTACGATTTTCAGATAATTTTTTTAAAAAATATAATTACATATAGCACGGAACTTGTTTCTCTCTATAGCAAATGACAATATTTAACATGTTAGAAATTATGTCATTCAAACTTTTCATATTTCAATATATCAAGCTATCCAAAAAATACGTTTATGACCTGCTGACCCTTAAATATGGGGGGGGGGGGTCATCCCCCTTTTCTTGATGTTATCTGAATGTTCTTGTAATTACACACAACTTTTGTTCTATATGTCTTATCAAATTATTATTACTTTAAAAATTATTAAACAAAAAGAAGCTTCCTTTTTTCGTTTTGACTTTTCCGGCCGTTCTGTCGTCACTTACGGTTGACGTCCAAAGTCACAAGGCCAGAAAAAAGTCTAAAACTCCATTAAAAATCATTTTATAATATTTCTTATGATTTCGGAGAAAAAGCTTTATTTTTCGCTTACTTCCGGTTTACATCGGGAGTACTTCCAATGGATGTTTTTTTTGTTATCGATTATCCATGTGAACATTAGTTCTATATGCCTTTATTCAACACCGTTAAAATTTTCAAAAAATCTTGAAATTTAATATCACTTCCGATGGAGACCGGAAGTGACGGATTCAAAATCAAAAGGCGCCATACATAACACAAAGAGATTTTCTACCATTCCTTGAAAATATAATGATTCCATTTAGACTCGTTTAAAAGAAGATGCGTGGACAAAATAACAATTTGGAAAATGAAAATCGGACCAAAAATGCGACCGGAAATGATTTTTCAAAAAATGAAAAAACGGTCTGGAGATATGAAATTAATGCATCATTTCTGAAAAAAATCTTTGAAATGGGTCCAGTAGTTTCTGAGAAGTCACGTGTACTATGAAAAGGGAATAATAATAATAATAGGAAACAGAAGAAAAACAGTAAGGTCTTCCGAAGAAAGTCGAAACACCTTAATAATAAAAATAGTGGAAAAGAAACCTAAGAATAAAAAGAAGGTCTTCCGCTGAATACGGAAGACCTTAAAAAACAGTGGAAAAGATACCGAAGAATAACAAGTAGGTCTTCCGCTGAAGAAGAAAGACCTTAAAAACAGTGGAAAAGAAACCTAAGAATAACAAGAAGGTCTTCCGCTGAAGTCGGAAGACCTTAATAAAAATATTGGAAAAGAAACCTAAGAATAACAAGAAGGTACTCCGCTGAAAACGGTAGACCTTAAAAATAGTGGAAAAGAAACTTAAGCATAACAGTAAGGCCTTCCGCTGAAGACGGAGGACCTTAATAAAGGTAAAAAAGAAACCTTAGAATAATAAAAGGGTCTTTCGCTAAAGACGAATTCGAAAGACCCTAATTATAATAATAACAAGGTCCGATCTCGTTGCGAGCAACGAGTGGGTCTTCCGTCCAATTTTGATGAGATGTGATTTTGATTGAAATATTCATTAAAAGATAATGATAGGAAAATCTAATTTCTTATATCTCACTCTGTTGATTGGTTAAATTTCAACGATTTAAATTTTTCCAAAATAAATTAATTAATTAATTAACTAAATAAATTGCTTTCAAATGTTAAAACAATATCACTTACTTTTGAGGGGAGGCAAACAACATAAAATGAGTTTCTTGAAGTCAAATCGAATGAATTTAAAAGATTTGAATTTTTAAAACATTTGAAGATGCTTCAAATTCTTATAAAAAGGACATTCATGGTCTTTTAAAGGAAGGAAAACGTCATACAATCTCTTTGGAGTATGTTGGAGGTTAAATAAAATGAAATTGAAACGATTAAAATTTTTCAAAAATTTAAATTGCTCCCAAATGTAAAAACAAGGACTATCTCTGTATTATGAAAGATGGAGAACATCATAAAATGTGTTTTGAAATCACTCGAAGGTCAAAAAGGGTCAAATTTAAACGATTTAAATTTTTCAAAAAATTTAAATTGAATCCATATGTTAAAACAAGGACTATCTCTGTATTTTAAAAGATCGAGAACATCATACAATGTGTTTTGAAATCTTTCAAAGGTCAAATAGAGTGAGATTTAAAAGATTTAATTTTTTCAAAAAATTTAAATTGCTTCCATATGTTAAAACAAGGACTATCTCTGTATTTTAAATTAAAAGGTGGAGAACATCATACAATGTGTTCTTAAATCTCTCAAAGGTCAAATTGAATGAATATTAAACGATTTAAGATTTTCAAAGAAATTAAATTGCTTCAAAATGTAAAAACAAGGACTATCTCTGTATTTTGAAAGATGGAGAACATCATAAAATGTGTTTTGAAATCACTCGAAGGTCAAAAAGGGTCAAATTTAAACGATTTAAATTTTTAATTTTTTTTTTTATTGAATCCGTTTGTTAAAACAAGGACTATCTCTGTATTTTAAAAGATGGAGAGCATCATACAATGTGGTTTGAAATCTTTCAAAGGTCATATAGATTGAGATTTAAACGATTTAAATTTTTCAAAAAAATTAAATTACTTCCAAATGTTAAAACAAGGACTATCTCTGTATTTTAAGAAGGAGGAGAACATCATACAATGTGTTTTGAAATATCTCAAAGGTCATTTGAGTGAAATTTATACGATTTAAGTTTTTCAAAAAAATTACGTCGCTTCCAAATGTAAAACCAAGGACTATCTCTGTATTTTGAAAGATGGAGAACATCAGACAAGGTGTTTTGAAATCACTCAAAGGTCAAATAGGGTGAGATTTAAACGATTTAAATTTTCAAAAAAATTAAATTGAAAATCAAATGTTAAACCAAAGCACAATCTCTGTATTTTGAAAGATGGAGAACATCATACAATGTGTTTTGAAATCTCTCAAAGGTCAAATAGGGTGAGATTGACCTTTGAGAGATTTCAAAACACATTGTATGATGTTCTCCATCTTTCAAAATACAGAGATAGTCCTTGTTTTTCCTTGGAAGCAATTTTAATTTTAATTTTTTGAAAAATTCGATTGTTTAAATCTCACCCTATTTGACCTCTGATTGATTTCAAAACACATTGTATGAGTATGGCATTCAACTGAACAAAATACATTTTCTTTAGGCCACAACAAAAAAAATCCTAGATTCTCATTCCCGCCCGCCCCGATCTTTTACCCTCGCCTCGATTTTTTATTATTTCTGTCTTTCTTCGTCTTAATTCTGATCGGGATCGGTATTCAACTACCATTCAACTTTCTTTTTTAATCCCGCGAATATCGGCATGATTTTGACAGCTGACAATTTGGCAAATGCTGTAATAGTATCAAATAAGGATCATTGGTTGTGAAAGATTGGTGATGATGTGTAGTAAGAGAAATGCATATTTAAATGAACCTCTACTATGACTTTTATTCGGACATTATAGATAAATCTGCACATATTGATCAGGTCAACATAAAATCTGCAAAATGGAAAAAATAAAAAATATTAAATAAAATCAGCCCGCCCTCCTCGATTTTTCAAAAAATTCGGATGAGAATCTAGGATTTTTTTTTATTATGGCCTTAGTGTAAATTGACACAATTGCTGATCTAAACACTTTATACAAATTATGAATAGAGACCTGTTATTAATGTAAATGATCAAAACATAGTGTTGTAATTGACAGAGAAATCTCCATAACTGAGGAAATCAACACGTGACTCTGTTCAGGAGAGAAACCACGGGATAAAGACGAAATAAATGTCTCCTGTAAATGATGTCCAGATTAGTGTACCAGAAATCTTTCACAGTACCAGGTGTTAGTGATTGTAGTCACATTTCCCATGTATCATCAGACCGGATCTGGATCTGTGATGGGGAAAACCTCATCTTGGCAAACACAGCAGGTGATAAACTACATCAACTGACAGATATAGGTAGATGTTATGGAGGGCATACGGTGACTAGTGGCGGTGATCTAATTTATATAGACAGGGAGTATAACATCAACAAACTGTCTACCGATAACAAAATAAAGACGACCCTAATAAAGTACACAGCACCATGGAAACCAGTGAGTGTCTACAGCTCCCCCTCCACTGGAGATCTGCTGGTCGGGATGTTTAATACTGATACACGGCCATTTACAGGCCAGGTAGTGCGGTATAACTCCACAGGAGAAATCACCCAGATCAAACAACACGACCACAACACAGGTCAAGACCTGTATAGAGAACCTTACTACATCACAGAGAGCCGCAATGGAGATGTTATTGTGTCTGACTGGGGCCGTGGTGTAGTGGTGACAGAGCATGGGGGAAAGCACCGCTTCTCCTATAGAAGACATCCACCAGGATCAAGACTACTACCACTAGGAATCTGTACTGACGCGCTGTCAAACATCCTGGTGTGTGATTATAACACCCAAACAATACACATATTAGATAAGAACGGTCACTTCCTACAAGAGGAAGAAACATCTCAACAAGGGCTAAGCTCACCACAGGGCCTGAGTTATGATTATCAAACTAAACTTCTGTGGGTGGGATCATGGGACAACAACACAGTAAACATATACAGAGTAACATACGACGACTCTCTGACCCGTAAGTTACATATTAATTTATTTTGTGTGTGTGTTTTATATAAATGTAGCAATACCGTGTGTATAGACTAATAACCACCATGACAGATTATACCCATGGATTAGATACAATGCTTATAGTCAATGTTATTTATCTGTGTACAAGAAGGTGTCCAAAAAGTTAGGATAAATGCTTAATTTCCTTAATAAAGTCCACAATTGCAAATGTGTACGATAATATCTTAATATCGACCATGATTTAGTAAATATATAAAAAATAAAACGCTAATTTCATGACAACGTACGAAATACGGATTTTGAATTTTAATCACATGTTCATGGACACACGCTAATTTTCTTTATTTTTCCATACAGTGTGTACAATAATATTCATGAATAGACCATATTTGATTTAATTTTTAAAACAAAAAAATAAGATAATTTACGAGGGTCATATAAACGCTTCATATACACATGCTGCACAGTCCAGTCCGACGGTGCTATATTTATTGCAACGTCATAAATAGGGATTTACCATTTTCATCAAGTGGATTTCCACCGCGATTTTTACAAAAATATAATGTTCAGACAATAAAAACCAAACTTTTCTTGGATTTTCATAACTAACATTTTGGTATACAATAAGTATATCTTGATCCATTCATTTTGACAAAAACGCCTTTGTCCACGAACTTTTTGTGGTTGTTGTAAAAAAGATGAACTCAGTTACATTGTAGTGTTGCTTGGGGGTAGTCATTGTTTGGTGAAGCAGATTTTCGGTTTCTGTGCAATGGCTTTAGAAGAAATGATCATTATTGTTTGCATCCATATCTATATACAATGCATGAATGGTCTGATAAACAGTGTGGTTTATACTTTCAGCTGGAGATCGTGGAATCATCGGCTGTGGTTTCCATTACTAAATTTGATCTCTTTGTTTTCTTGCTTCATTAATATTTTGTTTTTGTATAAATTAGCAGCATGGAATGTTCATGTAAAACGCATACTTGACATGGAAAGGTATAGGAATAGAAAGAAGTTTGGTTTTTCTAGTGCATGGTCTGGGCAACGGGGATTATGCATTAAACGGTGCTCCTGTAGTGTGTTAATTCTTCATATCAGTCCTGCACTCAATCATCGAGCGTTGCAGTGGGACTTCCCTTGACCAGCATATCATATTTTATTTTAACTATATGACCGTATAAACTATGGCTCCTTTGTGTTTTCTTTATGTAACAGATTCCGAATAAATAAAAAAAATAATTATTATTTTTAAATAATAAAATTATCACTGGTTGAAGTTTTTTAATCTATGGTGAATCATATTTTGATAAACTATTAATGTTTTTGTTATAGAATTAAAAGAAGCATTCAAAAACGAACTGAAGCATGGCTCTTGCAAAATTCGACAGGTCCGAATAATGGTTGTTGGTCACTACGGAGTGGGGAAGACAACATTGACATACGGCTTAATAGGGAAGGACAAAAAAGGAATTGAAAGCACGGATGGAATAGACCTGTTTCGTGCTCGATGTCGAATAGATGATTCAAATGACGACTCTCGAAAGTGGCGTTTAGGTTGTTTTTTTTTCTTTCATCATATAGAAGAAAACAATTGTGCAGCAAAATTTTTAGTTTCCTGTAGATTGTTTTGAAACTTTTGAATGTATATAAGAAAATCTGCCATGTCCATCAAGTGTGTTTGTAATACTTTCACAAATTGTTTTCTTTGTATTAAATTACAGTTAAGGGAAACTTTTTGTCTCCAGCTGCCTTGGCAGCGGCTCCCAATGCATCACTTGATCACCAAACAGAATCAGAACGAAGTACAGGAATATCTGTCAAAACACCTGGATTCTGTGAAAATAAAGCAACCTCGGTAGACGAGAAACAGAAGCAGACATTAAATCTATCTCAAAATCCTAGTAGTAGGACTTATGAAACTGTTACTCCGTTATCAGAATCTGTGAAAAGTTCTGAAGAAAAACCTGCCCATAAAAAAACTAAAAATGCAAACAATGTTCAATCTCAAAATACGGAGCAATCATCTATGGAAGAAGAAAGAAGCAAAAATTCTTCAGATTTCTACGAAAAATCACAGAAGGCATGGACAGCAGAACTTGAAAATCGAATGAAAAATATTTTTATCGACATGTGGGACTTTGGAGGTCAGAATGTTTTTTACACAACTCATCAGAGCTTCCTTACGAGTCGATGTATGTATCTGCTTGTCATTAATTGTGCACAGGACCTAAATACAGCACTACAAGACAGATCCTTATATCCAACACAACAATCAGGGTCTAAAGTTCAAGGTATGATTAATGACTAGATAATCAATCCAAATTCAATCCGTACTTGTATTGCCTTTTCAGTGTTGTACTACTTGCTCATTTATGGAATGTCTCTCGAATTGCAATTTGATAAACGTAGGCTGAACAACGCTGTTGATAATTGCCCCTTTTCTTCAGGCAGCACGTATTTATATCAAACATTTTTTATTCCCATGCACGACAAGGCCGATAGTTTCGTGGCCTTCTTTAAACTGTGTATTAATCGCTTATTAATGTAATTAATATATATATATATATATATATATATATATATATATATATATATATATATATATATATATATATATATATATATATATATATATATATATATATATATATATATATATAATATAGTTTAATTTTGTTTGTATTCTAGCCTCTGGTTGGTTAATATCCAAAAAGGAACACAAATTATTTCTGTATAACCTGGTTTGGTATGGGGACACACCCCCCTGACAACCAGCTGAATCATCTGTATGCATACAATCCTCTCATTTCCAGTCCTCGGGATTCATGGAAAATTCCAGATTTAATAAATATACCTTTAACTTCAAACAATAATTCGATCTTACCACATGTAAACAAGCTGCTAGGCCTATGTATAAGTTTTTACCTCCCCTCGCTTCCCATCACTTCCGTTACTTCCGTTACTACGGTTGTATTATTGAGCGGCAAATTTGAACTAATAAAAAGCAACGAAATTTTACACCCATAGTTATTTAATGATTTTAAAATTAAATTATAAGGAATGACTCTAATTCTTGGCCAAATTATTCGAGTATAACCTGGTTTGGGTCAGTTTACGCTTATAACCTGGTTTGGGTCAGTTTACGCTGTTTTATACGCTTCTTCGCGGATTATAAAGCGTAAACTGACCCAAACCAGGTTATACTCGAATAATTTGGCCAAGAATTAGAGTCATTCCTAAAATAATCAATAAAATATTTTCCTTGGTATAGGGATAAAATAAAATCCAAATTACATTATGACGTCATTCTCGTGACATTATGAAGGCAACGTTAAACATAATGTGATTGTGACGTTGTAATAATCACAGTTAAATGAGGCGCTGAGATAAAGATTTACAGTTCATCTAATAAAGTTTTAGCGCCTATTTTTTATGCACAGTAATGGAGACATTCTATGTAAAATGTACATAATGAAATGATTTGAAATAGAATTTATTTAAGAGTTAAGTTTTGGTTTACACAGTTTTATGAAATAATGCTCTTTGACTCTCCGTAATTGTTCATTTTCCTCTTTTACGTTGTAAAAAGGGAATATATAAAAATTGCCTTTGCCAGAGGAATAAAAGTGTTCACTACATGGCGTGTTTCTTATGGTCGGGTCCTTAATCTGTTGCTTATGTACGCGAACACGGTCGGCTAATTTGGTTCCGGTTTGTCCTATATAATTTCCCTCGCACGTAGTGCATGTCATACAATATATAAGGTTTTTAGATTTACACGTCATAGAGGATTTTTATGTCGAACTTCATTCCGTTTTTAAAAAATCATGGATTGGCCGGTTTGTAGAACTTGACAGGTTCCGCATCGAGGATCCTCGCACTTTGAAACTTCACAGGATGAAATTACTCCATTCAGTATGTACGGAATGGTAACTGAATGGCCACTGAAAGGTCACTGAAAAGTTCCTTTCCCGTGACTTTTCCGTGGTCTTATAGTTACCATTCAGTCGACTAAATGGCAGATACGTTTCAGTGGCCTTTCAGTTATCTTTCATTTGTATCTTTTTATTCATAAATCGGCTTATTTTTAACTTAGAAATTTTATTTCACGTTGTCTTATTGTAATGGTATTAAATTAATCTATTTTCAAGTAAAAAAAAATGAAAAAAAGTGGATATAAGAAAAAAAAAATTGATGCCGAAAGCCAGGATCGAACCGGTGCCTCCCACTTGATAGTCCCAGACACTACCATTGCACCACGGCATCTTGTTAATAATTCTTGATTAAAAATCAATAACTTTGTGGAATTGGGACACCCAGTTCCCCTGCTGTATCGAGGAGCTGGACATTGTGTATATATATTGTATACATTTTGAATATTCTATGTTAATTGCGCGGATTTCTGGGGCTGACTAATTAATTACACATCTCCTATCGGGATGATGACAATTATCGGCGACGGGCACCTGTTTTTTTTTTTTTTTTTTTTTTTTTTTTTTTTTTTTTTTTCTCTCCAAAGAAATGAAACAATGTGAATCTTCATCTCGGAAAACAATGTAAATTCTTAAAACGATATCTTTTAACATGCTAAATTATCGTGCTATTTTATAAATCAAGAAACAAAATTAACAATATAAAGGTTCTTCCACAAGAGGCATAAATAATTAATTCTGTTTATTTAAAATAATTTTAAAACGATATCCTTTAGAAGCTAAAATATTATGCGATTTTAACAATTAAGAAACAAAATTTACTGTATTAATTAAAGTTTCTTCAAGAAAGGCATAAATGATTAATTCTGTCTCGTTGTTCATTACCAGATATTTCTATGAAAACTTACCGCATTATACGCTGTGATAGATGGATATGAAATAATAATAAAAAAAACTATTTTAGACCTGAAAAAAGGACACTTTTTTCCTTGTTTATTTTAAGAGCATTTTACCGATATCCTCGAATTTTTTTATTTTTTTTTCCCAGATTGGCTGTCTGTTTATTCATTTAACAACTTACCATATTGAATAAGCTTGTGACAATATTTATAACAGATTTAGAGATTTTACAGAAAGAAAAAAAAATAGACAATTCTATTCCCGTTAATGAAATTCTGATACAAATATTATTTTTCATCATTTGAATAATTTTCTTTTTCTAGATCAATTTTCTTGAAACAAATTGGAAATTCGAAAATCATTTTGAATTTTAGGAGTCCACAGTTGAATTGTAATCTTTAATATTTATAAAATTATATTTAGATATAAATGTCACAGTTAATAATCACAATTTAACATTTTAGTAAACAATTTAAAGACGATTGAACATCTAACCGTTACCAGTTTTACTTATCTAAATTTTATAATCAGTAAGAAAACACATTTAAAAATGTGAATAATTTTATTTAAAAAACTTTTAAGGAATAACTACTGATAAACAAATGAAAAGCCGATGAAAAGGTAGTTGAATTACAACTGAAAGGTCACTGAAAGACGACGGAAAGGTCACTGAAAGGCGATGGAAAGGTCAATGAAAGACGATTGAAAGGTCACTGAAAGATGACTGAAATGTATCCGCTGAATGGTGACTGAAAGGTACCTGAATTGTGGCTGAAAGGTAACTGAGAGGTCACTGAAATGTACCTGCCACTCAGTGACTGAATGGCCACTGAAAAGTCACTGAAAGCCACCTTTCCGTTTTAACTTAAAGGTCTTGTTTCTTCCTGTGCTTTCGGTTTTTATAGGGTTTGATGTAAATTTGGCTGTAGTAAGAGGTTTTTTTTTCAAATTAGGTGGTTGACGTCTGCTATGTAGTATATCCTTGGGTTTAATAAGGTCCCTTAATGTTTCTGATTGTTGAAGAATAGGGAAATATTGCTTGGCGGTTTTAAATATGTTGTGATATCTTGGGTTGTGAGTAAGAACAAAAGGGATCTTTTCGTTGCTTTCCTCCTCGAATAGTTCGTAATTCATTGACGGGTGTTTCCTTCGCCTTTTGTATTGCAGCTTCAATTAAGTTAGATGGGTATTTTTGTCTTGACAGAAATATTCTAAGTTCAGATAGTCTTGTATTTCTGCGTTCCTCATCTATAACGATAGTACATATTCTCCGGGCCATATTAAATGGGATGTTTCGTTTGGTATGGGAGGGATGGCATGAGTTGAAAATCAAATATTGATGGGAATATGTGCTCTTGTAGTAGAGATACGTTATGATTTTTTCCCTCTTTTATAATAAGAATGTCTAAAAATGGCAATTTGTTTTCGTTGATTTCCATCGTAAAATGCAAACGTTCATGAAGCCGATTTAAAATGTTGCTAAATTGTTGTAGATCTTGTAGAGATTTTGTCCAAAAAATAAAACAGGCATCTAAATAACGTTTCCAGTTTTTTTCAATGTATAGACCAAATTCTTCTCCAAAAAATGTCTTGCATTCAGAAAAAAGTTTTTCCTCCAGAAAGCCTAGAACTAGGGTTGCTTAAGTAGGAGCGACTTTTTTCCCCATTGCTGTCCCTTTTCTTTGTAGATAAAAACTTGTCATCAAAAAAGAAATGATTATTTGTAAAACTATTTTTAATCCTTCAAGGATAAATTTCCTAGATATTCTACTTAAACCTATCTGCAAATTATTATCCAGTTTTATTCGGAACGACATGGATTTTCTCAACCATATTCCAGAAAACGTTGAAGAAAATACGAAGTTAGTGAGTTTTGTTGCCACTAGTTTATATACAAATATTCCTCGCAACTTAGGGATAGAAGCCATTTCCTTTTGGATTGACAAGCATTCAGATGTAATCCAGCCGAGATTTTCTAATGAATTTGCAAACTGGTCAATCCATGATTTTTAAAAACGGAATGAAGTTCGACATAAAATCCTCTATGACGTGTAAATCTAAAAAACCTTATATATTGTATGACATGCCCTATGTGCGAGGAAAATTATATAGGACAAACCGGAACCAAATTAGCCGACCGTGTTCGCGTACATAAGCAACAGATTAAGGACCCGACCATAAGAAACACGCCATGTAGTGAACACTTTTATTCCTCTGGCAAAGGCAATTTTTATATATTCCCTTTTTACAATGTAAAAGAGGAAAATGAACAATTACGGAGAGCCAAAAAGCATTATTTCATAAAACTGTGTAAACCAAAACTTAACTCTTAAATAAATTTTATTTCAAATCATTTCATTATGTACATTTTACATAGAATGTCTCCATTACTGTGCATAAAAATAGGCGCTAAAACTTTATTAGATGAACTGTAAATCTTTATCTCAGCGCCTCATTTAATTGTGATTATTATAACGTCACAATCACATTGTGTTTAACGTTGCCTTCATAAAGTCACGAGAATGACGTCATAATGTAACTTGTTTATTATTTCAAATCTACTGATGAGTCCACATGGGACGAAAGCGCTATATATTAAAGTTTAAGTTTTTCGTTCAAATTTAGATTTTATATATATATATAAGCGCTTTCATTGTTCCCTTCAGACGTTTTAAACAATTTAAACTTGTGACGTAATAACGTTACCTGGTGGAACGTCAACAACAATACCTGGATGACTGTTTTATCATTTGGAATGACAGCGATGCGGACTTTGAAGTTTTCTTAAATATCAGTAACGATCTGGATCCAGATATCAGCTTTACAATGGACGAAAGTTCTCAGAGCATTCTATTTTTAGATATCCTAATAACGAAACATAAAGAACATTTATCGATGGATATTTACTAAAAACCAACAGATCACAATTAATACCTCCATTTTAGTTCCTGTCATTCAAGCCAGACAAAACGCTCGATCCCTTATAACTTAGCAAGAAGAATCTCTACCATTGTTAGCGACAAATAAATGAGATGAATGTCTAAGTGAATTAAAAATATTCCTTCTTGAACATTGTTATCCTATGGGTATTATTGAAACGGAATCAAGAAATGCAGTTAAACTTGACAAGATGAACTTTATTAATCCTTCCAAAAACCAAACCTTCAAATATAAAGATTTCACCTCGCACAATCTGAGGAACAGAAATATTACTTCTACCTTTCGTCAGTTTAATACCGTTCGAAAAGTCAATGAGGAAATGTCCAAAGTTTTAAAAATATATGTTTATCAACAGTAAAAGACAACTCGGAAATCTCCGAAGGATATGGTGGAAATCTTCATTTCATCAACGGAATATACATTCAGTCAAAAAGTGTTCAGATCTCCGTTGTGTAACCTGCCATTACATGAAAAGTTTTCCGTTTTACCAACTTTATGCAGACAATCTAGTACAAAGACGAAAAAAAGGAGAAATACTTTATAAAACTGTTAAAACCTTTACTAAATAGTTCACTTTAGACACTTTCATAATTACAGTATAACAGTATAACATAGACATTTTTATGGATTTATACAATCCTATTTTCCTTTAACTCATTAAATAGTTTCCTCTATCAGTATTGTGACGTCCTTGTTTTGCTGTTGACATAACCACCAGGCTTCGGGGCCACCAACGCTGAGATTTTCTCAAATCTTAGTTGTTTTTTTTTTTTCAGAAAATTTGAGTTTTTCTCACCGAACTGTGCCATCAATAAAATATTTTCTTAAACTCGGACTTATCTTTTGAGTATTTTTCTCAAATCTGAGATCTTTCTCAAAACTGAGATTTTTCTCAAACATGCGTGCCACCAATTCGATTCAGCTGAGAATAAAATCTGAGATTTCTCAGAAAATCTTGAGATTGGTGCATAGTAGTCTCAAATAAAATCTCACAGAATGATAATATGGCAAAATGGTTGCAAATGTAATGACAGTGCATACTTTTATCCATGAATACACACAATTAACAGGCAAGCACAGAAAGCATGTTAATTGCTCTCAAAACAAGATACCGTATTCAAGAAAAAAAAGAAGGGAGGTCTTACTCACATGTGAAAAAATCTTAGAATATTGTCTATGCATTGAAACAATGCATTTAAAATTTTTCCAAAAGAAAAAAAAAGAAAGAACATAAGGAAATAATGAAGAATAAAGGCAACATTTTGTGGCACTTTGTGCACCCCCCCCCCCCCGAAAAAAAAGTAATCTGACTTTCTTTTCTTTTTTTTAATAAGGGATTATTTTACGGGGACTTGGTCAATATTTATTGTCGCAAAGATCGTAATGGAATCCTTTCCGCTGAATGACTCGAAACAGCAAATAAAAGACAAAGGAGTAGATAATGTTTTTTTTTTTCGTGATTATACGCCAAAATATTGCAAAAAACAACTAACTGAAAGGTAAATTCAATCATTCATTCAACAAATTCATGCATTAATAGAAAAGAAGGTAGCATATAACAACGAGAATAAGTCAAAGATTTTTCACAAATCTCAGCTTATCGCTGAATCTCAGAAATGTTGGTTTTAGAAAAATCTCAGGTGAGGCAGAAATCTAAAATTTGAGGTTGAGATTTGAGCTGAGATTTTTATAAGTTGGTGGCCATGAAGCCAGATAACATTCTTACCTCACAAGTTTTATTTGATATTGATTACCGGACACTGTGATAATTGTTTCGTTTCTTTCTTTCTTTCTTTTTTTTTTTTTTTTTTTTTTTTTTTATAGATATAGATGGCTTTAAATAAATGAATATATATATTTATTTAAAGGTACAATTAGATGTCTGATTTATTATTCCTTGAATATCTCTTTTTCAGACTTCATAGACTTTTGGGTATCTACAATCACAAACTACGCAAAAAGTGAAAAAAGTGGATTTCCTCGTATCATTCTGATCGGGACACATGTTGATGAAGTTGTAGGTATTGTAGCGGTGATATAAAATAAATAATACTTTGACTGCTTGGTAGGGCACCCGCTTTGTCATCTGGGAGTACTTATTTCGTTTTTTGTTCATGGATTTGCGTTAATATAGGTACATGTAGTCAATGTCACGTCACTAAGCACGCATGAATTAAAATCATGGGTCTTTCGGAAAGGACATTCAAAAATGAGATCGCAAGTCACTGTAGGCGTTGGCAGGATTAGGAACCCTCACTGCTCAATGGCCCTGGGTGCCGAGTGGAAACATAAATTAAATAAAAAGAAATATATAAAAATAACTGTCTAATGAGTAATTAAATTCCACATTCAACTAAAAATACTAAAATTTTCTGCTTGTTAAATTTTCATTGATTTTCCCTTTTTCTCTGTCTTTTTTTTTTTTATTTTTACCTTTTTGGTTAAATTTAGTCGAATATGACTTTTTTTCTCAATAAACCTGGTTCCTAGAATATCTCTCACATTTTGCGCAGTAGGCAAATAATCTTTTTGAATATGATAGCTGGTATTCTATATTTTTGGAATTTCTTTTTAATTTTCACCCTTGGGATGAAATGGGCATAACAAAAACATTGGTATTCCGTAAAAAACTAAATGCATGGTTATGAGGAGCAAGGGTGCCTCTTCCAAATTGTTAATTTCAAGACCCCTGGGTCAGGAATTCAGTGGGGTTGGACTTATTATTATACCCGCACTTTCATAAGAAAGTTCAGGTATATTGTTATTCCGTCCGTCTGTCCATCCGTCTTTCACACTTTCTTCTTCCTGAAACTCCTCTTTTCTTTAAAGCAGTGGCCATTTAATTATCTGGGATATGATAGATAGTGTCCTGTAGATTTGCAATATGTTTTTCGAATTCTAACTTATAACCCCCCCCCCCCCCGGAGAGGGGGGTGGTAGTATAAAAACGATGTTTTTCTACATAAACCTTGTTTTCAAAAAAACCTGTTACAATGTACATTCATAATAATTCATCTTTTGGGAAATGATGGCTGGTGTTTTGTAGATGTGTTATAAGGTCTTGGATTTTTAATTTTCAGTGTGAAGGTCAAATGGGAGTCCAAAATGATTTTCCACAAAAACGCTTATTATCTGAACTCTTAAAACATTTAAGGTGAAATATCCCTCTGCTCCAAATTTCGCCATTTTTTTTTAATTCCCAACATTGATTTTCATCAACAACAATATCATTAGATTCAAATGAAAAATAGTTTGAAGTATGAAGCGTTGCTTACTTTTTCAGAAATGAATATTATGTATTATCATGATATGAAGAAAATTTGATATAGTAAATACAAAGATCAATAATATTCTATCTCACAATAAGATTAAAAATATAAGGTATATATAAAAAAATGAATTTTACTGTCATACCTTTCTCATTTGCATTAGAAAACATAATGAAGCGTTGCTTTCAAATCAGAATATCACATTGTTTCCTGTGCTTGTAAAATAAAATGCGTCCATCTACAAGAGTCCATTATCGTTCTTCAAAATATTTTTTAGTGAAACAAAAATATTATTTAATTGATTATAAGAATTCTGCATCTAAAATTTCCGTAACAATTAAAAGAGTTATATGATAAGAGATAGAAATATCTCAATTTTCATGTTTAAAGGAACGGAGTATAAATATTTTTAGGTAAATTATTATAAGTAATTAATAAAAATATTGGCAATAGAAAAAAGAAATCAATATTTGTACGTTTGATCAGATTCGAATGAGTTGACTGTAAAATGGTCCTCATTATTAAACTTGACAAGACAATTCATTGGATTGCTGGGAATAATTTCCCCGAAAAGTTATCTCTCTTATCAGAGGGATGTTACACCTTAAGGGTATCCGATCCTCAGTCAGGAAGTAAAACTCTTAAAAGTATTACTTAATAATAAAAGTATCAATATGTAGTTTGAGATGGAAAATGATTTTCATTTTATGCATCATAACATGGTTCAATGTTGTTTGAAGTCTTAGAAAGGGTTTTGTAAATATTTTACATTTGTACTCTATAAAAATTAAAAGTATAAATAATTTTAGAGAAATGAGATTTTTCTGAATCTAGCCTTATATACTAAAACTTATTAGCATGATATTAAATTAGAAGTCATCTGTGATGCCTTGCAATGATAGCACAAGCTTTTAACACTATGTATTATAAAATACTCGAAAGAAATACAAGACCTAGAATACGAAATAAGTATTAAAAAAATAGTTTTTCTGAATGCCAGAATACCTATACTTTTTTAACCTAAAATACATTTGTTGAACAATTTTCAATTAGAAAATTAATACTTGATGTTTCTATTCTCTTTTCCTGAATATATATTGAATATTTGATAATTTAATTAACAACTGAATTTACGAACCTGAGGATCGAACTACCTTAAAGCAGTAACCAAATCATCTTTTAGAAGATGAATTGTGGTGAACTGTACAATAAGGTTTTGAGCTTTCTTTTTTACCATAGGAATCAAATGGGGGTCGCACAACGACATTTTTTTAACCGAAAAAACCTTGGTTCCCAGAACTCCTGTTATATTTTATGCAATATCAAATATTTTTTGAAATTTTTTTTTCTACAGTGGTGTGTCGAACAAAAGTAGTTTAACCATGACCTACTCTCGGAATTTCATGGGTACATTTTAAATATCTCAGATATTAAATGGCATAGAATTATCATTTTTAGGTGATCATCTTGGACCCTCAAAATGTGTCAACTTAAAATTAGGCAACACTTTTGGAATTTTACACCTTTATCTAAATGTTTTGGTTTATAAGAGTCTAATATTAATCAAATTTTGTCAGTTGATGCATCGTAGGTCCTCGAATTCTGTCAAACAAAAAATTATCTTCATGACATTTTTGAATTTCAAGACTATATGTAAATAATTGGGGTAAAATCATCAAACTTTTTTATTTTTAGTTTACGCACCATGGGTCCTCAGAGTGTTTTAACCAAAAAAGTAGGTCACCATGATCTTTGAGAATTTCATTGGTAGATCTAAATATTTCAAATACTAATTGGCTTAACAATCAGCAATCGTTGTCATTTGATGCATCATAATTTTTCAGAATGTGTGAGACAAAAAGTAGGGTACCGTGATTAAGTGTTTTTGATTTTCCAAAGTAAATCAATATATTTAAAATAAATAAGAAGCTAGGAATCAACAACATTTGTCACTCGATGCTTCTTGACTTTCAGAGGATGTTAGCCAAAATGTGACCTACTTTTAGAATTTCAAAGTTTAATCTTAATATTTCGGATATTAAGAGGCTAGATAACGATAGTGTTGAAAAAAATCATCGGCAATTTTCAGCCCTCGGACTTCATGTTATGAATATCATTTTTCTTGGTAAATGTAGTTTATCCTTAGGTAGACTTTTCTGATTCCTTTATATTATTTATTGGAAATAATTGCTAGAGTAAATAGTATTGTCTAAATGGTACACGCTAGATAAAACCAGTGGAGAGTGGATGAAAAATCATTCATGGCAGCTGACCCAACTGTTCCAAAGGCCAGTTTTACAAAAGAACTTACGACTAAGACCAAAATTTAATTCTGCTAATAACTTTCTAATTTACATTAAATAGAAAATGGTTTTATTATTTTTAAAAGGTATGTAGAAAGATACTTTTACTCTAGCAATTTTAAACAGAATAATTAATTTTGTAAAATTTTACAATCAACTGAAGTTTTTGGTCTTAGTCGTAAGTTCTTTTGTAAAACGGGCACCAGATTCTTTGTTTGCTATTTTGAATATCATTACACTTTTTATTTGTTATCTTCACGTCATTTGTTATATCATAAAAATATGTTAAAGTAGTTAGGGCACATACTGCTTCTCCAAAAATATTCTGCCTTAATTGGAGACAGGGCCAAAAATGATGAATTGCACTATTTCCCAATCTATGTAACTTTATTTACGTCAAGTTTTATTTTCCTATTTTAGAGAGTAGATATACCAACAAGAGTACAAAAGATCTGTTTGCAAATAAAGGAAAATTATCAAGATCTTGTTGATAAAGGGCAGTTAATCGTCAATGAAGACCTTTTTTTGAATGCTAAAGATACAGATGAAGAAAAACATGCTTTCCTCAGAGAGTTTATCATACAGCAGGCGAGGCTCCAGCCCCATTGGGAAGAGCCTTTCCCAAAGTCATGGCTTCATTTGTTGGATTTTATTGTTACTAAAAGAGAGAAAGGAATTGACATTCTACCATTGAAAGAATTAAAAGAGTTCAATCAGAACTCCATTGTTCCTTTAACAGATGTGTCTTTAGAAAACATGCTACAACGACAGCATGCAATTGGCGACATTATCTTTTTCAATATCAGAATGTTGAAGGACATCATAATCTTAGACCCCTCTTTCCTAATAAGAGCCCTGAAAAGTCTTATTTCAACAAGGGGTCACATGGAAAAATCTGGAGTGAATTCAGAAACTTGGAGAAACTTATCAACCACAGGAGTTGTCTCAGAAGATACTATAAAAGATATATGGTCGAAGAATTCACTTCTTCACAATAATGCAGATATCTTGCTGGGTGTTTTTCAACACATGGACATACTTGTGAAGCCTAAGTCATATGTTGATGGAAAGCAAGTAAATGTCAACCAAGAAAAAATATTTTTCATTCCCTGCATGATTGAAGAATCAGACAGTATAGAGAGAGTAGACAAATTCCTTGAAAGTTCAAAAGAGCTTTACAAGTTTTATGACATCTCCATAAATAATGGGATACTTGTTCCACCAGCCATTGGATACAGATTGTTATCCTTCTGTACATCTATGTGGCCTGTAGTAGAGAAAAGACTGTTCACTGCCTGTGGATTTTTCCGATTAGATCTTCATCACATTCTTATTTTAAGAACATTCCCTTCATACATTCGAGTATACACAGTGCATCGGAGATCCAAAAGTAGCATAAGTGCTGTCCTATACAACAGTGTTAATAGGACACTAATTTCTTTTCTAGACACCTGCTTACTTCAATTTCATGAAAATTTTAAGATCGTCAACGGCTGCCAAGAACTAGTAAGTCAGAATTTCTTGTATTAATTGAAGAAATTTGAATATATTTCTACTGAAATTATGATGGAACGGAAAAAAAGAACAAAAACAAAAAAAAAAAAAAAAACAACTAAAAACAAAAAAAAAACAACAACAAAAAACAAAACAAAACAAAAAAACAAACAAACAAAACAAAACAAAACAAAGAAAAAAGTGTATTTTTCAGTGTTTTAATAAAGCCAATATTGATTTTATGATAGCATACGTTGATGATAATGGGTATCGGTGCAAAAGCAGCATCTACCTGACTAGCTATTGTTCCTAAGAGATCTTGCCATGCTATTTAATTTGTAAATGTATATCTCAAACAAATTTCAAAAGATATATAACATTTCAGTCCTGTCACAGAGAACATGCTACACTAATAAATTTCATTTGAGCAACATACCTAACTTACGGTGTTTGATAGAATTTTCTTCAGCCATCAAAAGCTCAAAAATGTAAATGGGACCAATAAAACAAATTCCAGATTCAGACTGTGCGTAATGAGACGATGATTTTGATACCCATCATGAAATTTAGAGAATTAATAGTAATTTGAATATGCTTAAAAAATGGTTTGAAGCATAATTTGTTTTATCCGGAGACTACACAAATTGAATTAAATTAAATTAATCAATTAAATAAAAAAATTGAAATTAATAAAATAAAATAAGTAAATAAATTAATAAATGAAAATAAGAATAGATAAATAGGCAGACAAATTAATAAATAAACAGATGCATGAATAAATTAAATAAATAAACAAACAAACAAACAAAAATAAAATAAATAAATGAATAAATAAATAGATAGATAAATAAATTCACTAAACTGATTTTTTTCTGCAGAAAATAGATGTACGTACATAATCAAAGTTATCAAAATTACTCACTTGTTTAAAGATACACCACTCCACCCTATGTAATCAGTTTAAAAAAGTCATTAATAAACTCAACTCTTTAACCGTAGTTTTTTTTTATAATTACATCTACAAAGTTAAACCAGTAGCATGAACAGGAAGTCCATAGATTTATGTCTATTTTTTACCTCTCCCTCGTCCTCTCTGCCGTAAGACAGAATCTTAGACTTCATGTTTTGAAAATTAGACAAATATCACTTCCCTTTCATTTCCCTTCTTTGAACCCCTTTGCTTGTTTAAATGTCCACTGAAATGTATTGTAGCGTCACCGGTAGCGACTACGATGAGAAATAGTTTTGAGATATCTTGTAGGAATTTTATCTCTTGAAATCTCTATAACATTGAAGAATTCAATAATGCAACTGTAGATACAAAGAACGATCCCCTTTTTAGATACGTTTGTTTGTAAGATGTTGGTTTTCTCTACTGGGAGTGTTCAGTGAAGTTTGTTCTATTCTATGGATAGTTTAGAGCATGTTCAAAACTTTAATGAAAACCACCAGATCAATTGTTAGGTTATATATATATATATATATATATATATATATATATATATATATATATATATATATATATATATATATATATATATAAACATTTGTTCCGTTTGAAGGCATAATATACTTGTATTTTGCAAGGAACTCGTTCACTTCCTTTGCCCTGACTGGTCTGTCTTTGTATTGTCCATTGGAACTGTTTCACACGTGGATAATTGCCGGCCATGACACAAACAAAAATTCAGTGTTCTGGACACCCGTAAGTCCAATGTTAAAAACCATTTTGTCAGTTTTAAAAGCATTAAGCATTCTTTCTTTACATGTTGCTTATTCCTTAATGAAAAATAAAACCCCTTTGTTGTCCTTTGCTGGATTGGTATACGCCGTGTGTGACCGTTCGACAAGTGATGAATACTCCTCCTACGAACCTTATTCCACCTGTAGATTTGTCAAGTTTCGGTGTTTGTGCCGTGTTCGCCATTCGTTTCTTTCACTTGATTTATGAGTGTAATCACTGTTCGTTTCACGTAGTTTTGCGTAAACAAATCAGGTTTTCTTTATTCATTCTTTCTTTAATAGCAGGACGATGCTTCATCTCAAGAGAACCAAAAATGCAAAGACAACTGCCCAGGTACGTTCAAAATACCTACAAGGATATTCTGGAAACTTGACTGCGCTGTACATTTATGAAAATAAGTATTGAGTCTACGTCTGTTTACAGGTTTTGAATGTTCTTGTCAAAAGTTGGTAGAAGATGTTGAAATCTTACGGCTAGCAAGATACTTAAATCCACAGGAATTAGGGATTGTTGGTACAGAACTTGGAATCCTCGACATGGACATCAAACGGATACAGGCAGAACACACGTCAATCAATGACCAGAGATTTTACGTCCTACATGAATGGCGTAAAAGATCACAACCCACATTCTCCGATCTAGAAAGAGTTTTAGTGAAATTCGATCTTGACAAACATACACTCTGTAAGGTAAAAAAAAAAAAAAATAAAGATTATATAAAACGTCCTGTAACGTTTATGTCAGCTTGAGATAAAGCTTGTTTTACCTACGATGTAGTTTAAAAATTTATTTCGAATGACAATGTCCATGAGAAGATTTTTTTCTATTGGCGTGTTGTAAATTCTGAATTCACCATCTCGAACGAAGGGTTATTGCTTATACCAAATATGATACTCCCCAAGCAGAGCTTCATAGTTTGTGACTGTTGTTTCGTGCATTATTATTGAAACTCTCATTATCTATAATAGGTCATTATGCTGGACGCAGCTTCTAGCGCACTAAACAATGAAGATTCGATTAAAGTGCCCAAAACTCGAATATAAAAATCTACAAATCTCTCCATCTCATTAATTCATTACCAGGAGTAGAGAGGCACATTTCCCCTAAATTTTAATCCACACACCTTCAAATTATTTGATTTTTCGAAAGGACAACCTTTATTATGACTATATGATAAATCCATTCACATTTTTCTTCTTTGAGCACCTACAAGGGATCATTCTCTATAAGGCCATTTTGCGGCCTACAATGAATTCAGATATTCAATTAATACTTTTACCTTTAAAAACTGCATGAAACAGTAGGCATATGTTCCAATTTAATGATAAATGTTGAATGGTTAATGAAGCTATAGTATTTACTGTGATATAGGGTCAAAAAGTAATGTACTATCAATCCGTATTAGCATTAGGGTAATGGGAAAACTTCAGAGGGTGGGTGTGTTAGGCAACTACTACACATGTCATAACTACCTTTAACCAACACTGAAATTTGCATGTAGACTTCTTATAAGCATAAGAAGTGACTACCAGAATGTGAACTTGGTTAAAGGTGGTTATGTAATCAAAATAAAAACTTTTCCTTTCATTTTTACGATATTTGCAGGAAAAGGTCATTGCTCACAATGAAGACTATCAGCTCAAATAGATTATTTCATATTATAAACTTTCAGTTATAGAGTACATGTTTCTCTTGATTTAGCTAGAGTCAATATAAGCCATGCATTTTTACTTGAAAAATGTCGACTTTTTATTAAAAATTTAAAATCAAAGGACTAGAAAGACTGGATGTCATGGAATTACAGATGAAAACTAGCTTCATCGAATTGTCTGCTAGAAATAAAAAAAAATTCGTATTATATACTGTAATGTGTGAATATAAGTTATTTATAATAATTATTATTATTCATAATTACAGTTTAATTAATCTATGCTATTTCTTTGTATTTATTCCTTAGGAGTATTTCATATCTGTTAATACGAGAAATGAAAAAAAACTATCCATGTTGTAGTAGGAAGATACATTTTCTATTTGTGTTATTAACATATTTTTCTAAAGGTACACACTTTTAAAGATAGGGAATTACTGACATAAAATTACTGACATAAAATAAAAGTTTCATAATGGGAATTCTCCTCTCAACCTTTCAGAGGGACGCTCGCCTATCTCCGTATGGGTGACATATGATCCAAATATTTTATGTCACCTCGGTGTTGAGAGGACTCAATATATTGGGATTTCAGGATGCAACACACATAGCTTTATAGCTACGAGAACAGCAGTTCTGTCTTTAGAAAATCAAAGCCAAAGGGGATGTGGGGTTGGGGTTGGGGGTTCTCTAAATGTCACATATTATTGGTAGGTGAATGTTGCTTTACACCATTTTAGTATTTTCACAGAGGTAAAGAGGTCATCCACTTTAGGCAAAGTGTCACAATTTTAATCTATACATGGTGTTTTATTACTGATTAATGCCTAGAGTGTCACTTTTTTAAAGGTAATACCCCAAAAGACCCATTTCTTGTAATGCCGATGTTTTAGCAAAGAAACAGTCACTACCCACAATAAACAACTTTAAAAAAAGGGGGCATGGACTTGACTTTAATATATATATATTTGTGAAATCAAAGCAACTCTTACATTTTCAGCTCACTTGAGCTGAAAGCTCAAGTGAGCTTTTCTGATCACTCGTTGTCCGTCGTCCGTCCGTCCGTCTGTCCGTCCGTCTGTGAATTTTTCACATTTTCAACTTCTTCTCAAGTACCACTGGGTCAATTTTAACCAATTTGGTACAGAGCATCCTTGGGTGAAGGGAAATCTAAATTGTTAAAATGAAGAGCCAAGCCCCCTTCCAAGGGGAGAAAATTAAGAAAAGACAAAAAAGGATGGGGTCATTAAAAAATCTTCTCAAGAACCACTGGGCCAGAAAACCTGAAATTAATGTGGAAGCATCCTGGGGTAGTGTAGATTCTAAATTGTTCAAATCCAAACCCCGGGGGTAGGGCGGGGCCAAAATGGGATTCCAAATATAACATTGAAATATGCAGAAAAAATCTTTTAAAATCTTCTTCCCAAGAACCACTGGGCCAGAAAGGCTGAAACTTATATGGAAGCATCCTTGGGTAGTGAAGATTTTAAATTATTCAAATCATGACCCCCGGGGTAGGGCGGGGTCACCAATAGGGAATCCAATTTTAACATTGAAATATGTAGTAAAAATCTTTAAAAATCTTCTTCTCAAGAACCACTGGGTCATAAAGGTTGAAACTTATATTGAAGCATCCTTGAGTAGTGCAGATTCTAAATTCTTCAAATCATGACCCCCGGGGGTAGGGCGGGTCCACAATATGGGCTTCTAGTTTTACATTGAAATATGTAGTAAATTTTTTTTAAAAAATCTTCTCAAGAACCACAGGGTCATAAAGGCTGAAACTTATGTGGAAGCATCTTGGGGTAGTGTAGATTCTAAATTGTCCAATCATGATCCCCGGGGGTAGGGCGGGGCAACAATAGGGAATCCAATTTTTGCATTGAAATATGTAGAAAATATCTTTAAAAATCTTCTCAAGAACCAGAGGGCCAGAAAAGTTGAAACATAAACTTAAGCATCCTGGTGTAGTGTAGATTTTAAATTGTTCAAATCATGGCCCCTGGCGGTAGGGCTTTGCCACAATAAGTACTACAAGGGGGGGCACATTAAGTACTATAAGGGGGGGGGGAGGGGAGGGGGAATCAGGTGAAAAACAGCAAGGCCAAAGTTACTTAGGTTAGCTTGTGGCCCAAGGGCCTCTTGTTTCTTTCCTTTTATGTACCAGTATATTTTTAATACAACCGTTCTGAGTTTTATATGCTGACTTCTCATACGTTTAGTTTGCCTTAATATTTTCATCCTGTAGGTTAATGAGTTCTTTACTTTTTGTTAACTCAATTTTTATACAATCACTAACAAAATCCGTTCAATGTTTTCAAAATTTGATACACAACTTAGACTGGTCAATAGATACTTCAAAACTACATTTCTTATAAGCGCATTTTATGCGAAAAATGGGTAGCTCATCTATGAAAACAATACACAATTACAATATTATCTTATATGAAATAATTCTTTGAATTAGATTATAACTGAACATTTTTAAAACATCATACATTGTGCATTTTGTAAAAAATTACGTTCATTACATGCAAAATGTGAATGCATCAAAATTCAGGTCATAAATATTTATCTTAAACCTTTAGTGAAACAATCTTTGTATACATAGCTTACGGTTGATATGTTTCCGACATAAATAAACATTTTTGATCAGTTATATTTAGAAACAACCATAAAAGCTTGATGTAAATATACATACCCCATTTTTTTCTTATCATTTGACCTACATTTGGGATTTCTAAATCACGCGACGCAGGTGATCGATGCTAAAAAATAGAACATCAAAATAAAAAAGAATGATCAAAATTATATAGAATCACATTTTAAAGGGATTTATCGTAGGCCGGAAAACGACCTTATACAGAATCGTCCTTTATCTAACATGTATCTTTAAAAAAAAAAGGACCTCGTTCCCCAAGCCCCACATCCTCCCCATTCTTTGCATATTAAATAATAAATGATAAAGGATAATTAAATAAATAATTTTTCATAGAAAATGAATAAAAATTCAGAGAGATATATTTTGCTGATTTCTCATACTAAAGAAATAAACATAGACTTATTTCTACGAAACATCGTCCTGACATTACTAAATTCGGAGGGGGAGGGGGTCTCATAATGGATTCATACCAACTGCTTTCAGATATATCTCTTATGCCCTTCCCTCATCTCCACCTTGTCCTGAATTTTCCTGGCACTTACAAGTAATTGTATTTACTCTTTTTAGTCCTAGATATGAATTGACTAAAATTTTATAGAGATTCATTCCAATTTTCAGGTCTACAAAACCAGCTATTTTGATATGAAAGGTAGGTGTACTATATGATTACTTTGTTACCATGTTGTTACTTTAGGATGATAAACAAATGAGTTTGAGATGGAATAAAATGCATGTTATTAATTAGGTATTTTTTCTGAATCCATAATGCTCTCTCTCTTATTGCATTCCTAGAACAAATGTTAGCCTTGACGAACGTTCGATATTTAAATTAATTATGTAAGTTATTTCGTATTTTGTAAGGGTTAAAAATTATAATATGCATGGAATGCTTCATTTTCTATTTCGATCCATGGAAGGTTGTGAATACCATTTATCAAATACCGCATTTTTGAGATAGAAAAAGAGTTTAATATTTTTTTTCCTTTTGTTACCAGGATATTATCTATAAAAGAATATTCAAGAACTTTTTTTCTCAAGTATAAACTATTATACCTCGTATAAATACAACTGTAATCACTAGTAAAACGGAATCTAATTGATCTAGAAGGTCACTGGACCGTCGTATTTGCCTGCAAAAAAATGACGTGTTTCACATAGCATTATAAATTTTCCGTTATTTCCCGATCATGACAAGGAGCATTCGGCGGGTATGACCGGTCGGCAGGGGATGCTCACTCTTCCATGGCAGCTGATTCCACCTCTTATATGTTAGAGGACCATGTTTGCTCTGCTCCTGATTTGTATTGTTTGAATGGACTTTCGTGTTTGAATATTGTTCGTTATTTCCATATATTTCATTATATCTGTTTCATATTGTTCTCCCTCACTATCATGCAATAAATGTGTATTGTTTGCTTTCAATAGTTATAAAAAACATTCCAAATGATAAACTGGAAAAAGTCTTATCCGATCAGGAACTGGATCAAGTGGCAGGATACATTGGACGAGAATATTTCCAGTTGAGTCTAGAGTTGGGCCTTACAGTTAGCCGAATTGAACAAATCATTGAAGACCACAGAGATAATGTTCTGAAGAGAATCAAAAGCCTTTTGCATGAATGGAGAAAAACATGTCAATTGAAACCTACAGTAAAGATGCTAGGATGTGCATTGTTACAATCTGGCGGGGACTTTCATTCGTTTTGCCAATTATTTATACCCAAACAAGAAGACGATCTGTGGCTTCCTCATTCTTTGTTTCCAAAGTGAATGTCTAAATTTTTTTAAACTTCTCCAGAAACAGAATAAATTTCAATCAATCTTTCTGTAAAGCATATGTGATAAGGCGAATTCCATTTTTCTTATTCGAATGAATGACTGTTCTTATTTACAAAAAAAAAAAAAAAAAGACTAATAGATGGAAATTTGCAAGAAACCACAGAAAAAAAAGTTTGTGAGCTTCCTCTTAATGTATGAATCATGCCCTAGAGGGCACAACTGTGTATTCAATGTTCAACATTCAAAGTAGTTTTTTTTTTCTGAAAAGTACCTGCAGAGAATTTTAAGTGAACAATCTGATAAAGCAGTTTCACATTTATCATGGGGAAGAAATAATTCAGTTGTTTTACAAAAATATATATATTTTTTAAATATTTCACTCAATATATATGTATATACAATTATAAGCGACGTATTCATACAATCTTTTAAATCAAGACCGTAGACCCCGAAATGAAAAAAAAAGTTGCTAGAATATTTTACATATGTACATATATATTTCTCGACTGTAAGACATTGTTTTCTGTATATAATGAAAAAATACCATCCTTCCGTTGATTGATGAGTGAGTGATTCTAACCACTTATATATTCTTTTGTCAAATGCGAAAAATGTGACTAAGATAATCATAACTTAAGAAGTTTGTGATTATGGTAACGTTATGGTAAAGTTTATTGCATCATTATAAAGCAAAGCGTGTCAATTTTCTTTACCTTTTATGTACTTTATAATCGAAATTTGTGTAAGCATAGATCATGAATTTGTTACTTAAACTAACATATTCAAGAGGATATCTCGTTTATGCAAAGCTTTGTTTTCTATAAATGCTAGTACCTGTGCATGTTAGCCAAAGACCAGTAAAATGTATGTGTGTTTTTGTCTGTCTTTTTGTCTTCTTTTTTTTTCAATACGCTTCTCATGCCAAATGTTTTTTTTTTTTTAATTTAATGATACTTAGCTGACAAGGGTCGATTTTCAATGGTACTGAAATTTATAAAAATGAATAATTTGTAAAATTAAGTTTTTGAATTAATATGTAAAAACCTGAAACAGAAAAATATCTGACGAAATAATAATCTTAATTGTAATTCTCACCATTGTAAACATAACAACATTAATTGGTAAATCTTTTGGGGAAAAAATGTTTCCATCTTGTTTTGATTTTATTGTAAAAACAAAAACAAAACAAAACAAAAACAAAAACAAAACAAAAACAAAAAAATAGCGAAAAAAAAAACCCAAAACAAAACAAAAACAAACCAAAAAACAAACAAACAAACAAACAAACAAAAAACTTTGAAACAAATTTTATAATGATTGGGATGACTAATTCTATAAATGTGAAGACTAACAAAAGTCCAGGAGTTCTGTTTTTTTCCCTTTAAATTGAAAGTTGTGTCAGAGACCAGGATTTATTTGTATTTCAGACAAGTAAAAATGCAATTATCTAGCTCGTCATGTTGTAAGATGTTGCAAATAATATTTTTTTTCAAAGAATCACGATTTAGTAAGATTAATTGCAAGTATAAAGGAGACTCACAAGTTATAAAGCATACTCTATCAGTTTCCTATTTTTCTATTGTGTGTCCTTGTTTAAGCTTATTTGATTTTTTTTAAAAATAATTTTAAAGCATAGTGTTTCAATTTATAATGAAATATTGTATTGTAAATTAAATTATTCTAGACTTTTTGAAAGAACGCCAGTATTTTTATTACCCATATTTATTTATTTTACAGATTTTCATGGTTTCTATGTATGGATGACAAGAACGATTACCGTAAATTGCAATAAATAAATAGAATGCACAAGTTGGTAATCCTTCTGACCAATCATATAATGGCACATGAAAACAAATTGCATCTTCCCGAACTGAAAAAATATAAATAAAGCAATTTTTATAGATAAAAATAGCATTAAAAGAGCTAGAAGGTCAATCCTGTTAAAATAAGTACAAGTTCAGTATTTTTGCTAAATTTTATTCAAAACATAGCAAAAGAAAAGTATGATATTGAGTTTTTATCATATTTTAATGCAAATTAGCATTTTGGACACATGGGATTTGCTGTCTTACTTTATCTCTTTTGTCAATATTTATTCTTTTATGCTGAAATGAATACTGCTTTTCATTTTTTCCTAGACTTCTGTTCACATTTATTATGAATTTTATATGCGTTAATTTTTTACTTATCTGTGTACAATTATAAATAAAAAGAAACTGCACTGTCAAATCAGCATTGCGTTTCTATTTTCATGTAAATGATTAAATACTAGAATGCAGGGATCACGTTCCACTTGTCTGTCTGAAAATTAACTACCAAATCAGCATTTCATTTAATGTACTTCTGACCGATGAATTTAGGTGTATACTGAAATCACATAGTTGGTATGCCTTTCCATCTCTCTGTCTATAAATATTTGTGGAATATTTCCAATTAATTAATTTAATGATTTTTTTTTTCAGATTCTGTAAAAATTTGGAAAATTATTCAAACTTTGGCACCTACGAGTTTCTGTTTTATCTTTTTTATATTTCTTTTTTAAAATATAGCTTTGGCTTCTCAGCTCACTTGAAAAAGCCTGAAATAAGTTACTTGTAATCATTTTCCCATTACCTGTGTTTGTCTTTTTGATTTAAAGCACATATATTTTTATGTTTACTGCATTTATACATCTATATAATTTGCTTATTTAATGCATGTTTATACCATTTACTGAATGTATGAATATAGCTTTGTGTGTTGAGTTTATGTGTATATCCTTGTGTACTGAATATATGCATGTCTATCATTTTGCTCTGAATTTAAATGAATATACATTTGTACGAAATTAATGCGTATGAAAAAAGTATTGAAGACTACGTATATCTGTGTCTATATCTTTGTGTTCTAAATGTATACATGCGTATATCCTGTACTGAATATGTATATTTTATGTACTTTATTTACCTTGTTTTTTGTGTTGTTGTAATGCTTTGATAACGTGTTATTGTATATTCTACATGTATTCAAACTACAATATATTTCTGTCCCGAGCGAGATTGTATAGATTGATTGCGTAATTGTAAGTTCAAGACATAACATCTGTTAACTTCTTTGAGTACTTTGATTTCTAAAAAAGAAATGTATTATTTCTCATTCTGAAGATCGCAGTTAAAGTTTGAATGCACTATATTATTCATTTGCAAAGGACTTTTGTTTGAGATTTGTAATATTGGAATGATTGTGTAATTTTAATTTAAGAAATACAGTATTTAGTATTCCATATGATCTTATTTTTCTTTATGTAGGCCTATAAGAACAAGCTTAAATATTGACTCTGAATTAAATTTTCACGTGTTAATCCTAACCTGGCATAAGAGTACTTACTGTTTCGTTTTATAAAGCAGAGTAATATTTAAAGGTAATTCACACAGCAAAATTCCATTACTACAAGAATTAAATGCTTATGTTAGATCAGTTAATTGCAGAGAATAGTTGTCTAAGTATAAGAAACAGAACAGATTCTTTTGAGGAGTCCCATTTAAAACACATTTTGTGTGATGCTATCCAGTAATGATTTATACCGTCTTCACAGAATTGCATTGTTCGTTATCGTTACCCTTGTCATGTACTAATTTAAGTAACAGTCCCCGTGCAATATTTTCAATCATATTAAAAAATAAACAGTTGAACTATGTTAACTCTATTATCGATATCTCGAATAAAAGTGATATTTCGGAATGATTTGGAAATTGAAAAAAAATTCTGTATGATTTGGAAAACAGTCACAAGTATGCCCCTCTTATCATTTGACAAGGCAACTTCTTATGTGACATTCTTTTGAACAGCACATTTACGAATTTGATATCTTCTAAACAATGTCCTTACTATTGCTTGAAATATATATATTATTATATCAATTTAGAATCAATTGTATGTAACATTGTACATAATATTAATCAGAACAGACAAATCAGAGACCCTGGCCTTGATATTAATGTGACACATAATAGAACGTTTTCCTCACTGGATATGCCGGCTTTATTGGGCGATGAGATCTTTTCCAAGATCAAAGGTACATCCTTGTGGGTGATAAGAGACATAGCAGACCGTTTTTCACAGTAAAGTTACCTGCCTGTCTTGTAAAAAGAGACGCTGCATAGCAGACCGTTTTCCGCACTAGAATCATCGGTCCTGTAAAAAGAGACACAGCAGACGGATTTCCACACCATAGCTACATGTACATGCCTAGTAGGTTGACACTAAATATATCAGACAGCAAGAATAAAAATAAATGAAAAAAAAATTGAGGCCTAATTAAAAAAATACGAGTGAAAATAGTTGTAAGGATATCTACAGCATGATTTGCATATTTAACGTTTTTGTTGGTGATTTGGTGATAATATAATGACAGCATTGCCAAAATCTTTTGTTTTTATACTGAATTTGACTTCCTGTCTTCTTGTCTTTCTGTCTTCCTGATAAATACAAAGGACTCTCGTCGGATGTGACCGGTCGACAGGGGGTGCTTTCTCCCCCTAGGCACGTGAACGTACCTATGGAATTTCCAGGGGCCAGTGATTATTCACTGTTCACAATTTTGTATTGTTTGTGGAATTTTTTTTTTTTTTTTTTTTTTTTTGAGATTTAACAATGTTCGCTATCTTTACCCTTTTTATTGCACTCCTGTAATTTATACATGTACTTGTATATCTAAGTGTAATCATTCTTGTCGAAAAAGAGATTTTTAGCATTAAATGCAGACATAAAAAATATTGTGTGTAATGTTTGATTTATTCCATTTTTTATTGAAAATGTATATCATATATATTTGTTATTCAAAGCCTTCTGAATGAGATCGATCCTTGAAATAACTAAAAACTACCTAAAACAATTCAGTTACTCTATGTTACCATGAATCAGTGTCTTTTGAAAGTAATGTCTCAATCTTAAATTTTTTTCGGTGACAAAATTAATATCATGCATTGCATTAACAAAAACGCATTTGAATACTTATAGAATAATGGCCGTGTCTTTTCTTTGATTCTTGTGACAACGGAAGATTGTAAGTTGAATATAAACACGTAGCAGGCTTCTGTGCTTTTCAATTTATTCACGTGATTAGAGAATTGCCTAAGAGTACAGAAAGATACTAGTATGCTGTCCAAAAGAAGATATATAATTTTGGTTTGCTGCTTGAAGGGAAAAACACTGTTTAAATAAAAAGTGAAATAAAGTTGGTAAAGCTCCACTTTTAAGACAATGAAGCGACAGTCACATGTCTTTCGGATGGGCCCTTTAAAAGCCAGGTACAGTGTCACGGTAGGTGCTGGGACGATAAA